ATTTTCAACCAGCCATATCTCAGCATCTATTGCACCTACATAAATGAAAAAAAAACTCACTTTTTCCTCTTCTCCGAAATGTTTTTTTTTCATAGAATGTCTATTTTCCAAGTTATTCGAGAAAAACTACTAAAAAACGTCTTTTTTGGTAAAAAATGTACATTTTCAATCACCAACAGCTCAGAAAATATTATCGAAAAATGTCCATAAGATACTTTTTGCTTAAAATTGATTGCTTTATCGATTCCTGGGGTTATTTTCAGTAAGTATTTTATTTTTCATCCCCTAGAAAGTGTGGCTTCCACTCCCTGGACAAAAGCTCATAGGCACTATATAACTTTTGCTTGGTTCCCTGGACAGGTACTGGTTTCAAGTCTTAAAGGAAACTACGAAATAAAACGCTAGATGATCGAATAAATAATATATTTATTAGACTTAATTTAGTTGATATAGTAGCACTGCGTATCACTGATAGAAGTACGAATCTTTAACAGGGGATCTGGTAACGACATTCGCAACGCGTTCGTTGTAGTGTAGACAGACCTTTACGAAAAAATTATCGTCACAGTATTCGGACGCCTGAGGCAGGTTTAACAACTGATCAAGAACACGAAGGTCGGTAAAGTTTATGTCTGAGTTGCAATGTCGTTATCAAAACATGCATAGAACTAAAAAGACGACATGCATGAGATGCTAGAGGTACGCGCAGGGATAGCCGTTGAATGAACAAATATACCTTTGTTTCAAAATGCCTGCTTACGTAGATACAGGGTGTTGAAATTAAAAAAATGATAATTTCAGTATGGATTAACAGATTGTTTTGAAATTTGGTGTTGTAAATGTCACTGTCAATTGCTACTCTAGTGTGAGGAACCAGCAGAATATTGAAGGGTCAGTGACGTGCAGTCACCGTTAAGGTGAACCTCTAAAAAAAAGTTACGCCCCTGACTAATATTCTCCTAATTCTAATAGCTTTTATTTTACTACAAAAAAGCATCCATACATATTTTCAGTTAAATCTAAAAAACATATTATTTCCAACATTAGTCAGTGGCGCAACATTTTTTTTAAAGGTTCACCATGGTGGTGACTGCACGTCACTGACTTTCAGTATTCTGCTGGTTCCTCACGGGAGAGTAGCGATTGACAGTGACATTACCACACCGAATTTCAAAACTTCAACACCTTTGCAAGGGAACAAAGATTTATTTGACCAATTATTTTGTTCTGGCGAGAAATCTCGGTAAAATTTTCGCACCTAATTATGACTCACTATTGAAACATATTCGACACCCTGTATGTCTTATCTCTGCGCGTACCACTGCTAGTAGTAAGTTTAGTCTAGCCTAGACAATTTGAACTTGGTTGACGTATTGCTGTACTAGGATCCGCTTATTACTAGATTTTCATTAATAAATTACACTGTGGATTGTTTGTATCTCTTTATGGCGGTATATACACACGGGCTTTATCTATATTTACAATTAAAATAAATACGCTACGTCTCGGGCAAAGATGTCTGTCCTGGATATGTTCAAAAATATTTACATATTGTACAGGAACTGTGTCTGTGAAGGGTGAAAGAGTGTAATAACTGGAAGTGGATATCTTTAAGCACACCTGTTTTCCGAGTGTTTCCAAAAGGCGTCAGTTGTACTTCATTTTAGTTAACGCGTATTTTCAGTGTTTGATTAGTTTCCAACTACATATTTCAGAATAGTCACTTTTAATTCCGAAAACGAAAGCTTTTTTTCGAGTAACTCATTTGTTTTTCAGATATATCAAGTATTAAAAAAATCAGTTTAAATTAGGATTTAAAACAAACTTCAAATTAATTTCATTCAAAAATGCAGTTGAAGCTTTGCGAAATAGACCAGGACGGATCTGTGGAAATATTCCACTCCTTGGATGTAAGAGGGGGCAAGCTAATTTTTGCTGGAATACCTTCAGTACATCTCACATATAAAAGTGTAGATCCTTAGATCTGGGCGAGGTCCGCAATATTTTCAAAATTGCAAAAATATTTAAAAACTTTAAAAAAATACCCAATTAATCTGAATTTTTTACTTATATCTTGGGACCTATGCAATTTGGAAGAATATTGGAGAGGAAAAAAGTCTTAGAATTGAATTTTCCACAACATACTGTAAGTTAAAAATGTTTAAATTTATTACCGACGTTGCAAAATAGCAATAATTGATGAAAAAAAGACAAAATAATCAAGTTTTTTGGATATATTTTTTAAATATTTTAATTGCTCCGAGGGCATTCTAATCTTGGTAAAAAAAACTTAAGAGTATAATAAAATAACACACCAAATTTCATTAAAATCGATTCGATAGTTTTTGCAAAATAATTTTGGTTTAAATTTTGAAAAAATTTTTTCGAATTTTCAAAATGTTGCACACAGCCTCAAAAAAAGCATCTAGATACTTGAAAATTTTTTCACATAGAAAAGACCGCTCAACCTTTCAAATGGTTTTTGAAAAATTGAAATAGGTTAATAGGGGACGGTCACAGTAAATTTTTTAAGTTATCACTTTTTTTTTTATTTTGAAACAATTAGATTACATTTATCAAAGACGAAAAATGATATCGGGATAAATCCAAGTGCGTTTTAAAGAGTAAATATAGTACTTTAAGATAATACTAATGGTTGTAGCAAAAAAATTACCTTTCCATGTAACTTAACCTCAAATATGTAAAAAAAAACGCGATTTTGGCACTTTTAGGTTAGGATATCTCGAAAACCAGAGCCAATTGAGAAATTTGGACCTCGGATTCGAATTCAGCGCATCGAAATCCTTTTGGAAAGTATATTCGTGTTGTTGGGTTAAAATCTTGTCTGCCTGTGATAATTAAAAACGAAAATAATTTAAGAAGACGAAAACAGGTAGAATTTCGAAACGTTAACAATTCTTTAAAGTTTGCGATATGTAGTGAAGTGTTTTTTGTAGTTATCTTTAGGCAAAACTTTTTTCATAAAAATACAGGTAACCTCTGATCCTTTTGGTGAAAGGGTTTATTTAATTAATTTTTTAATTTTTTTCGCAGGTGACAAAATAACGAATAAAAGGCTATTACTTATTAACTATATTTTTGAAATATATTAAATAACGGCCAATGTTAATCCGTCGAATATACCACCGTTTCATTTTATTACATTCCATTATTGAAACGTGAAACCTTTTATTGGAATAGGTCAATTTTATAGTAAAATTTAAATTACGTTTCCACTGTTTTGCGATCTTGATTAGTTATCCAAGTCAAGGTTTTAGTCGGATAAAGATCAATAAATAAAAGAACACTATATTTTAAATCATTGCCAACGTTTCGCTGTTATTTTACACCATCCTCAGGCTCTAAAATATAAACAATGTTTTTTAATAAAATTCGTTAAGGTATTAAAATAAAATACAAATACATTTACAATAATTCTAAAAAATTGTTCCTGTCACAATTACCATAAAACCCGAAAAAGAAAAATTCTAAAACAGCTCTAAAAATAACATAGGTATTACTCACTCACCGAAATTTGAAGTGTCTTTTGTCCAACTTAACAGTTCTAAATATTAAGAAGATGGTATCTAGATACCAATTCATGGAACAATTTCAATGCGGTTTTCTTTCACAGTAAAAATTGTTGTAACGTCTTAGGTACAGCAGAAAAATACTATTGGCAGTAAATTTTATAGTAAATTAAAAACTAAGACCCCTTTCAAATTAAAATCTAATGTGGTTTAATAGAATACCTTGTGGAAATTGTAAAAAAAGTTATATTGGTCAAACGGGTAGATATATAAATACACGTATTTCAGAACATGAAGGAGATTAAAAAAAAAACAAATAATTTACATCCAACTGCACTTGTAGAACATTCAAAAGAATTCAATCACCATTTTGAATTTGACAAAACCGAACTGCTTGGGCATCAACCTATTCTTTCAAAAAGGTTACTCGAGGAAATGATTTATATTAAAAAAATTAATAGTGTTAATACTAAGAAGGACATAGATAATTTAAACTTGGTTTATTATAATTTAATTGATAAAATTATCTTGTAACAGTATTTTGGTTTACTCAGGTTTAGACTTTTTTTTTCATAAATGTGCTGGACTGAAAAGTAAAAAATAAAAGGGAAAAAGTAAGAGGAAAAAGAAGCATGATAATCTACACACATTAGAATCAACGTATTTTTCTACTGTCATTCTGCTGAACAGTATCTAAGACGTTACAATAATTTTTACTATGAAAGAAAACTGCATTGAAACTGTTCCATAAATTATAAGTACACATATATGTATCTAGTTACCATCTTCCTTAATATTTAGAACTGTTAAGTTGGACGAAAGACACTTCAAATTTCAGTGAGTGAGTAATACATGTTATTTTTAGAGCTGTTTTAGAATTTTTCTTTTTCGGGTTTTATGGTAACTGTGACAGGAACAATTTTTTTGAATTATTGTAAATGTATTTGTTTATTTTAATACCTTAACGAATTTTATTTAAAAATATTGTTTTTATTTTAGAGCCTTGGGGATGATGTAAAATAACACCGAAACGTTGGCAATGATTTAAAATATAGTGTTCTTTTATTTATTGATCTTTATCCCACTGAAACCTTGACTTGGTAAAATTTAAAGTTGCATTTAGTTACAAGAAAGATGAAATTTGCAGCGGGGTAAGAAAATTAGGAAAAAGGTTAAAGAAAATCAGTTTTCATGACAGAGTTTGAGAAAACCAACTTATGATATGTTTCTAAAGGTCAAAGGTAGCCTTCGCATAAATACGACCCCCATTTAAGGTTACACCCTATATAATCGAGGTTACCGGCCAAATTGGTGATTATTCACCCTTCAAAGACACAGTTTTTGTTCTCCACAGACAAACTTAACATCGCAAAATCAACAGACACCCTACAGCGAACCCCCGATCGCGCGATACAAAACTTTATTGCACAACTCGACTCAGTTCACTTTCCCCGCTCCCCCCGCACCCCCTCAGGTGTTGTTCAGCAGGGAATCTATGCTGAAGGGGTTCGGCCTCCTGATTTTGTCCTCGTGCGATCCCGCCGTGAGGTCGACCCCCGTCTCGGACACCGACGAGGGGTACATGCCGTTGTCCGAACCGCTGAAGGTTTCGTTCTCGGCCCCCGAGTCACCCACCACGTCGATGTCGCTGTCGCTGTCCGCGCCGTCGGCCCCCCTCTGCGAGAGGTACTCCCTCTTCAGGGCCACTAGGTCCACGGCGATGCCCTTGGCGCGGAGCTTCCTGGCCTGTCGCTCGAGCGCCTTCTGCAGCTTCTTCCTGCGCCTGGCGCGCTCCCTTGCGCGGAGCTCCGCGGGAGGGATCGGCTCCCCCGAGCAGGATTGGGGGTGGGCGTTGTGCGCGGGCCGGCCGGGGCCCTTCTTCGTGTGCTCCTTCTTGCGCCACTTGGCCCTCCGGTTCTGGAACCACACCTGGAACAACGGGAGAATGTCGATTAGTTTTTATACACTCAGAAATAAAGTAAATATGCTTTAACTCAGTTTATTTTCATTGTATTAACATTGGAAATGTCTAAGAAATCTTTAGTATAACGCTAGAGGTTAGGAAAATGTGTAGAATTTAATACTGAGTGGGGTGGTATAAATTTTCAAAGCATTACAAATGTTGGGTTGTGACCGCTGGGCGCAGGGGTGGTCCGATCGGACTGAGTTCGGTGTCGTTGTGTAGGTTGGATCTTTTTGCGTAGAATAAAAATGGTCCTGGTATTCCACGATTGCAGGGGTGGCAATGGAGAGGAAAAAGGTGGATTTCTACATTTTGGCTATTTTATAAAACTATAGATGTTTAAGGGCTTTATAGGTGAACTTAGTATGAATATCAAGTTTTCTAAGGCACAGAGAGTAGAGGGTAAATTTGAGTGTATGATCGGAAAATCAATAATTGGTTAAAACGCAAAACAAGGAAAAAGTTGTAACAATGACTAGGTAGAGTGTGTCCTTCATAAGTGTTACGTCGTCATAAATCGGCCATATTTGATATAATTTTCCTTGTTTGTGTATCAAGATACCGGTAAGCCGTATATTGATTTGTCATCATTTCACTTTTTGTGTAAATTATTTGTATTTTGTTTAGTAACTATCGTTTAAACTTTTTTTAAAGCTTAAATAGTTTCGAGTTCAGTCAATTTAGCGAAGTTCTATAATCTCAATTTTTAGTACATATTTTGTATTTTAACTTATTTTACTATTTTTATTTATTTAATTTATTAAAAACATTGAAATATTATTTATTTTAGTTTAAATATATCTGTGCATATTCATTTCTATGCTATATTTCAATAATAAAGAAATTTGTTTTTATCGCATTGAAAACTACTTAAATATATAAAGCAAATAAAGGAATTTGAACTCTTATGATTTTAGTGAAACAATACTCAATTGTTTGCACTGTCAATAAAACGAAGATAAAATATTAAACAACTATACTACCCAAAGGATTTTTTTTAACATTTCAATAGTTTTTGATAAAAATATTAAACTATGAAAATAATGAATGTCCATGTTTTTTAAACACTTATAAAAATTTCCTTCAATACAAATTAACTTATTTAAATTTTTCAATTTTTATAATTTTTAATTGGAAAACAACCAACTGTAGTTTTCATATAAGAGTATAAGATGTGACATAAGTAGGATGGTATTTTCATTACTACACAAAACAGTTCATTAAATCGGTAAACAAACAAGCACACCTTTTTCACTTAAAATAATATGAAAATCTTAAAACCGGAAAAATCAAGAAAGGAAGTCTATAATTGTTTTCGGAAAAAAACTACCAAAAGCGTTCTGTCCCAGGGTCTCCCATGTATCTGTATAATTGAATAAATTTAGTAGAAACACATTCAAATAACAGTTTTTAATAAATAAAATAAAAAATTTAATAAGAAAGACTTCATGAGTTAGTAATACTACCGAAGAAGAATAAATGATATAAACTTGTGACGTTTTCTTTGCAAGATCTACCCAAATCTGAGAGCTTGACTACGATTTTCTGGACATCATGTATGGCATCTAATTAATTTTAACAAAATATAATGTTTATTAAAAACTAATATACCGCCCCTTCTGCATCACATTGGCTTCCGAGCTTAATCTTATTAAAATGAGTAATAGATGCACACTATCCATTAATATTGTAATTATAGTCAAAATAACAGAAAAAAATCAAATTTCATTTTTCATTTCAAAAATAATTTTTTTTTGTACTGGGCTTATTTGAGCGGACATGCGCACAAACCAGACAAGCACTCCAGATTGTCCAGGTGAGTTTTTCGAATTTGACAGAAAGTGCTTTTCCTTTGTTAAATTATTATACAAGGTTTGGCATTAGTTGGAAAGACTTAAAATTTGCTAAGTTGTTGATATTTGTAAGTCCTATTTTCTAAAATATATCTGAAGATATTTGATGCAGAATAATGAAACTTGGTCATTTATAGGTGAAATTTTGTATTCACTCAATATTTAGTCAGTTAAAAACCAAATGTAAAGAATTGCTCTAAATAGTTCAATTTAAATCATATTAGAAAAAAGGTCAATTCTTATTTGTTTGTACATACTCGGAATACAGCAAAAAGTCACTAACTAGAAAGTGGGAACAAACTCACATCTTCGTAAAATTACTCACATCTGCCGCAATAGTTTCACTCATAAAATTTCACTCAATCAGGTGTGAATAGAAATCGATATATTATTGAGTGCAACATGAGTGAAATTTCACTAAATTTATTTTAACTCTCTTAAGTTCATCCGGTGTTTCTCCTGTTATTTGGACTCGTCCTTTTACTATTTTATACGTGCTTTCTTGTAGGTACTTGTATTAATAGTACTTTTCCATTTCAGCAGACATTTCTGTATCATTGCTGTTTCTATAGAATTTTAGGATGAACTTCGATAAATATCAGAATGAGTTCCTCTCCATTTTCCATCCGTTTTTCTATTACATTTCCCAATATTGTTATTCGTCTGTCCTTCGGAACATTTAGATAGGTGCCAAATCATTTCTCATGTTTAATTGTTTTCGGAACATTAAAAATTTGCTACAAATTTTGGTCTTACACTTTTTTACATCTTGAAATTTGATGGGAATAATAGGGAGAAGTATGCTTCGCGTGACCACCCTGTGCACATAACATAAAAATAACAACTTTGTAATCATAACAATAAACACTTGAAAAGGCTTCTGAACTTAGAACAAAATATAATGTATAAATTCTCTGACTCTTTTTATTCCACCAAGTGCCTTATTGAAAGGATAAACCTTTCCTTTAAAAGTAAATTTACTCTGTTTTTATTAAAACGACCGTCCAATTGTAAGCAAATCCCCTTTTCACATCAAGGACTTAACCAATCCAAGAAATCCAATTGCGAAAACTCCAGTAAAAACTCAGAAATTCCCCATCGACACGCCGTAGCCGATTTGAATAATGGCCCTGGCGACCCTCGATCCGTCCGGGACGCGTATTACCATTCAATGCCTCCACAGGCGTCTATTAGTTTCCACAGCACGCTAAGTTCCGATTTTTTCCTCAAAAATCCTAAATAGTATCTAAATAGGTATGTTTTCTTGAGTGAATGTTAAAAAGTAGTATTATTCCTGTTTTTTGTTTATCGTGTTATATTAGCACTCTGTTGGAAAAGGACCTACAGTGACAAATTTATCAAACAAAACTTCATTTTACTTCAAATTCATTACATATAAGTGTTTTTGAACATTGGCTAAACTATTGAATGGGTAAATTTCTTTGAACTCAAAATGACTTTTTGCATAAATGTGCAAATACTTAATCTACCAAATTGTTTAAGGAAGAGTTTTCTAGTAATGATTTTTTCTAATACATTAAAATGAAACGGGTAGAAAAAAAAAGATTTTGATTGGTCACCTCAACATTGGAGGACAAAGAAATATAATTTAGATAATTTAATTATAATTTACGGAACCTCTTGGAACGAGTCACACACGTGATTTTACCAAGGTTAAGCAAATCGCACATATTTCAATCACACTCTTATGATTCTACCAGATATTGAATTCAAAAGGGCTTGACAACTTATTTTGTCCACGTTTTATTATTAGATTGTAGGCTGAAATACCGACCTATACATTTAATAGGAAATACAACTAATTGTATAAGAAATACAGAAAAAAACGTTTAATTAAAAAGTAAACATAGGTACTTAGATTACATGAAGCTATCTATTTTCAATATTAGTCAGTGGCGCAACATTTTTAGTTAAAGTTCTCCGTTGTGATGACAGCACGTCACTGACTTTTAGTATTCTGCCAGTTCCTCACAGAAGGGTAGTAATTGACAGTGACAATTATTACAACAAATTTCAAAACAATCTCTTAAGCCGTTCTGGAAATATTAAGAAAATACAATGTTTTTTAATGAAGTTTCGATAAAATTTTTTAAACCTAATTATGAATTACCCCGTATAGCGATAACTTAACGATTTTATAACTGAAAAACTGATATTCAAATTACAACGCACGAAGTGACGTGTATTTGGTTGGTTAGAAGAAACTGGAATTAAAAGCGCCTCGGTGACGGCACTACGCGTCCGGGATCCATCCCGACCATCCATTTAAAAACAATAGACATATTCGGGAGCTTATGGTCCCGGCATCGGCGGTCAATGTAGCGAGTTAGTGTGTATCAGGGCGTAATCTTGCGGCGAGCCAATCGATCCTTGGGGGGATAGGACCTCTTTCCTTCTTCATCCTGGCTGCGTTAACCCTCGCGACCTCGCCCGGTTCGACTGTATTGGGCGCCGTATTTTCTCCACAGCTTTTCAATACGGGCCGCTGATCGTCGGCGGGAAACGGGGAAGGGGGTGGTTCCTCGGGGACGCGGCCGCTGACAGGGATAGTTTCCGGATTCAGTCGGATGTGGAATTCGGGGAGGATAGGGAGGTGGAGATTTATTTCGGGTTTTGCGTAGAAGGTGGGCAGGCGAAGTATTTATTAAAATGGAGAATATGGTTAAATCTAGTTGGCAGTTTTCTGTGAAAATGTAGTTAGTATCTAATAAAACTACTACTACCTACTTGAACACTAGCCACCTTTGTATTCATTTTATAATGGGTTCGGTTTATTCAAGAATTTCTGCCATAAAATAAATAATAATTAATGTAAACGGAGCGCGAGAAAACGCTTGGAAGCCATGTGACGTCACACCATTCGTTAGTGGCTAGCCCACATGGCTGGCATCCACATACATTATAAGATATCTGTAGCTATGTAAGCAGACAAAGCAAATTTAAACTATCAAATTAGTAAAAAAAGGAATGGCATTACAAATTTTGATACTGAAAAAATTATTGCATAACTGTAGACTCTGGTGTAAGAAGGAAACACGTGTTTTTTCAAGTTTTGTTGTCACATGTGAATTTCGATGAAAATAACTCTTCAC